GACGAATCTTGCTGTCCTTACTGTTTCTTTTCTTCTTTTCTCAGATGCATATGCTAGAGGATCTGGGTCTTCAACTTCAAATGCTTGTACGTTGTCAGCCATCAGCACAATAATGATATCCCTCACAGCTAGATCAAGTTTATGACAAAAATTACATGAAGGACTTCTTGTTTATAATATAAGCAACATTTAGCTAGTTGTTTTGAAGACACCCAGTACTAAGTAATATTGTGGTTCAAGTACATCTTACTACTGGAAAAAATGTTTTATGCTTCTTTAGGAATGGCATTATACAGTACTTCCTCAAAGCAAATATAGCTTTGTCTGAAGTTTCCTTGGAAACTCTGCAATGCACTGAAGACATCTGTAATATGATGTTACCAAAGCAGTTTACATATGTCCTTATATGCATATTTTTTATTATATATTTAGTGTTTTATAGAATTTTTTAAAGTTAACATATGATGTAGATATTAATTTTTCCTCTGCTATAAAATGCTATGGACGACATGATCATAAAAATATTGTTTGGAATTTTTTCTTTTAGGATGAAGAGTCCAAAGTTGTTTGCAGTAAATTGGTTGCAAATTTATTGTACAGTTTTACAAGGGTGTACATTGGCAGAACTGTTTAGGACTTGGTTCTTAACTCCAGGCAGCTGTATTTAAATGGCCGTTATGATGATTCTTACGTTATATCAAGTGCTTTTAACATGCAGATTATTTTTTTCACTTTGGAACAGGTGACTAACCAAGACAGATTTAGGTAACTGTCAAGAACAGCTACGATCTTGAAAAATTACATAGAATTTTTGGTTGTTTGTGGACTATCGTACATATAGCCAATAATTTAACAACACATAGTGGGATTTCATTTTCCTGTATTGAAGTAGCTTTATCTTTATCATAAATAACATTTAAATCAGATGTTAAAATTGTTGTTACTTTGCTGCAATCTCTTCCTCTAGTAGCATCAATCTAGTCATTACAGCAGATGAAGGACAAGAATCTGACCCTAGCTAGTTTGGTGAAAGTTGAGTGTAATTCCAGCTAAATTGGTGATGTTACTCTGGACAGTTCACCAAGGAAATTATAACATAACTATGGCAACTCTAAAACTTAAAATGAACACCAGTTTTCTATGTTTCTTTTCCATGTACATTTTAAATGCGACTCATAATTCTTCATAATTCAGTTGCAATCTTAAATTGGCTTACGTACTTGCACTTAGATCTAGGTGATTAACTGAATCTGAAAAATGTTTCTCATTGCTCATATAGCTTTCTCAAGAAGGATTTTTTTCATGTTAAGTTTCAAGGTCTCTTTGGGTGTATGGTCCCACAATAGTTGTGTGCTATGAAGTTTCTGTTCCTTTAGAAACTCTCCATAAAAGTCCAAGGTCTTAGTAGAATCACACTGGGAAATGACAGCATCCACAGCAAAATAATTCTTCTTTAGAAAGGAAATGTTTATTACTATGGGGTTTTTTGTAAGTTCACACAGACGGCATAATGCTAGTAAAAAGGCTGGAATTTTCTATAAAACTTTTCAAGTTGAAATGAGCTGCAGTGGTTTATTATTATTATTTTTCCTGATAGCTTGAATTTGCCTGTAACTTGTCTTTTTTGCTTACAAAACAATCCAAGTTAACTTTTAAACCTTCTCAATATATTTATTCAGTAACTCATAATCGGGATTCCACTTGTGTAAAAGTCAGGGGTGTTAACCAGAGAAATATTGTCAGTATTTCAAGCTGTGTTCCTTTCTTAGTTTGATATGGTTACTTCTATGTAAAAAACAAAAACAAAAAAAC